TGTTGAAACTTAGGAATTAGGAACTTGATGGGGGCGCCTGACTGGCTTAGTCTGTAGAGCATGCAACCCCCAATCTCCAGGTTGTGAATTCGAGCCCCACATTAAGCGTAGAGATTACTTTTTAAAAAACAAAAAATACAAAAAAACTCTCCAAATTCTCAGGCGCCTGGCTGGTTCAGTTGGTAGAGCATGCGACTCTGCATCTTGGGGTTGTGAGTTCAGGCCCAACATTGGGTGTAGAGCTTACTTAAAAAAATAAATAATAAATAAAACAAACTAACAAACATATATACCTCAGAAACAAACCAAGTATGTATGTTTACTAGCTGGAATTTAAATAAAAACTTGGGAGAAAAAAAAGAAACCTGAGTAACCCATACATTAGCCATGAAAGCCCCTGAAATAATTCTTACTATGATTGACACAAACTTTTTAAAAGTAACACAACCTAGGAGCGCCTGGGTGACTCAGTTGGTTAAGCATCCGACTTCAGCTCAGGTCATGATCTCACAGTTCGAGCCCCTCATCAGGCTCTGTGCTGACAGCTGGGAGCCTGGAACTTGCTTCAGATTCTGTGTCTTCCTCGCTCTCTGCCCCTCTCCCATTCGAGCTCCCTTCCTCTCTCTCTCACTCTCTCTCACAAAAATAGACATGAAAAAAATTTTTAAGTAACATAAACTTTTATGTTCTCCTGACTTCGTTAACCAAATATTAACATATCAGATAAACATCAATATATCTCAAATAATATTTGTATTAGAATTTCCTTTTTTTTTTTTGATCTGTCTTATCCCACCCCCCAAACCTGATCTACCTGAAAACTTCAGGTAATGACAACTCCATCCTTCCAGTTGCTAAGACCAAGTACTCTAAACTATCCTTAATGCCTTTTTGCCCCTCACACCCCATTGGGAAGTCCTAATGGCTCCATCTTCAAAATATATTCAGAATCCAATTATTTTTCACTATTTGGAACATTTAAGTTTATTTATTTTGAGAGAAACAGAGAGAGCATGAGTGGGGGAGGGGCAGAGAGAGAGAGGGAGAGTGAGAATCCCAAGCAGGCTCCTCATGATCAGTGCACAGAGCCCAACATGGGGCTCGAACTCACAAAACCGTGAGATCATCACCTGAGCTGAAATCAAGAGGCAGACGCTTAACTGACTGAGCCACCCAGGTGCCCCACTGTTGGGAAAATTTTAACTGACTTTCTAAATGCAAGAGGCTGCTTAAGACCAAGGCTGCTTCGTATTTCTTTCCTTCCTTCCTTCCTTCCTTCAAGTTTTTATTAATTTCAGTAATCTCTACACCCAACATGGGGCTCAAACTCACAATTAAGAGCCATGTGCTCTTCTGAGACAGCCAGGCGCCCCTATTTCTGTATCTTGAAGTTACGCAACATTCCTAACTTCAGAAAGTAAAATCACGCTTTTTTTTTTTTTTAATGTTTATTTTTGAGAGACAGAGAACGGGTCGGGGAGGGGCAGAGAGAGGGAGTCACAGAATCTGAAGCAGGCTCCAGGCTCTGAGCTGTCAGCAGGCAGGGCTCAAACCCACAAACCGTGAGATCACAACCTGGGCTGAAGTCGGATGCCCAACCAACTGAGCCACCCAGGAGCCCCAAAATCACATTTCTTAACTGATAAACATAACTTGAAGCATAATTTAAAACAGTATTTTAACCCGTAACGTATAAAACTGAATTTTCATTTACTTTAATGGTTTTATTACCCCCAAACCAAACCTGGTTTCATGAGAGTTAATTTCATTAAGAAACATTTATTTCATGCTACTAATACCATATGAAATATAAATTATGCTCTTTCCGATATGAGCAAAATTTATGAAATATTCTGAAACTGTGCTACCTTTTAGCTGCTGCACAGTTTAGAGAACCACCTCACAGACTAAGGAAATTCTCTATGACCTATGTTGGCTCAGAAGCGAAGTATCTTCTGTTGAGCACCTATTTTTATGGGGAATGCTTTGTTTTGGGGTTCTTATTCTGGAGCCTGGCTTCAGGAATATAACATCCCTGAATGTATAAGCAGAATGTAGGGTATGTGTACATATGAGCAGCTTTCTGGGAGGATGTCAAGGGAAGTTTGAGAAGCTAAAAATAAGTATTAGGGGCACCTGGCTGGGTCAGTCGGGGGAGCATGCAACTCTTGGTCTTGGGGTCATGAGTTTGAGCCCCATGTTGGATATAAACATTACTTAAATAAAGAAACTTTAACAATAAGTAAATAAATAAATAAATAAATAAATAAATACAGTAAGCACTAAACTCATTAAATTTAGTATATAAAAAAATACCAGGGGTGCCTGGCTGGTTCAGCCAGTAGAGTGTACAACTTAAAAAAAAAAAATTTTTTTTCTAATGTTTATTTATTAATAACATTAATAAATTAATTAATGAGACAGAGCATGAGCAGGGGACAGGCAGAAAGAGAGGGAGACACAGAATCCAAAGCAGGCTCCAGGCTCTGAGCTGTCAGCACAGAGCCCAACACAGGGCTCGAACCCACAAACCGTAAGATCATGACTTTAACTGACTGAGCCACCCAGGCCCCCCTAGAGTGTGCAACTCTTGATCCTAGGGTTATGGGTTTGAGCCCCACATTGGGTGTAGAGCTTGCATTAAAAAAAAAAAAAGTAAAAAACCCCTTGACTTTGACATCTATCATTGCTCATTTAAAGTTAAAGAAAAAAACAAACAAACTGGGGCACCTAGGTGGCTGAGTTCGTTGAGCAGCCAACTTTGGCTCAGGTCATGATCTCATGGTTTGTGGGTTCAAGCCCTGCCTCAGGCTCTGTGCTGACAGCTCAGAGCATGGAGTCTTCAGATTCCCTGTCTCCCTCTCTCTCTGCCCCTCCCCCGCTCTGTCTCTCTGTCTCTTTCTCTAAAATTTAAAAAACAAAATTCATGCTCTTAACTATGTCACAAAATTGACCACAGTACAAGCTATCTACTGGTAGACGTTTAAAAGAGGTCCACATGTTCAGAGAGCCTTTGGCTCATGTACTTCTTGTTAAGCCACTCGAGTTTCACCTGCCCCAGCATTTTTCCTACCTAGCTGGAGCAAACCATCCTCTCTGGGCTCCCATCCCAAGTCCAAGTTAAAATGTCCTAAACTCCTGCAGCTGCCAAGTAGTATTTCCCAGTTATGACTCCCAACTCTGAGGTTATTTCCCCCAATGCTCTCTCCAGTAACTACCAACCTAACATGTTTTTTTTTTTTTTTTTTTTTTTTTTTTTTTTTTTTTACAATTTCTTCTCTTCCCTCCCCACCCCCCTCCAAAACCTGGATTCTATTTTTGTTTGACAACTGGGACCCAAACCAAGTTCTCTTACTTATGCTCTAGGAACGCTTTTCATTATCCATTAGCTCTAAACAAGAACCCAAAGAACACCGTCAGCACAGAAGTGCTAAGTCAAATCAAGTCACTGAGAAAGAGGAGCAGGTAAGCACAGCGCATCATCAAGGGAGGCCCTTCCTCTACAGCTACCGCCACCACTCATACTCAGACCGACACAAATGCCTGAACAGAACACCCTATCATCATCGTCATCATCAAAATTAGGGGAAGTACACAATGAGCAAATGTTTATTTAGCAAGTTCCTCAATCTGGGAAACAGAATATTTTTCAGTTTTGTTTTGTTTAGCACTGATCCTATTTGTCTCCGAGAGCTCCGCGTCACTCAATGCACGTAACCGAAATTAAGAGATAATTGCATTAATGTAACAGTCACTTACTTTCACAAAGGAAATTCTGTGAACCTGAAGCGTTTTTGCAAGGTAGGTTATGGGGACCATTCCAACTGCGTCAAGTCTTCAGTTGGGCTGGAACAGTGATTTCACATCCAAATTGTAACTCTGAAAAGCAATTTATGGTAATAAGTAGGAAATTCTACAATTAGAACTGGCAGAAGTAATTCATTCTGGTAGGATTCTATGGTAACCTCTGTTTGGCGTGGCTGGAATAGCTTTAAAGACAACACCCTTGGGGGAGGGGGGAGGACCTGGAGGGCTCAGTTGGTTAAGCCATCGTCTCTTGATTTAGTAGAGGTCATAATCCCACAGTTCGTTCCCAAGATCGAGCCCCAATCAGGCCCCGCGCTGACGGCATGGAGCCTGCTTGGGATTCTCTCGCACGCTCTCCCAAAAAAATAAATTAATTTTTTAAAAAACCCAAAGTTTTAAAGGCAACACCTCTGCAACAAGTTTGCCGTGAAGCCTGATGTGGTCTTGGGGACCACGGACTCAAGGAGAAGGGCTGGGAACACCAGAAAATGGTTTCCGCCCAGTTTTCTCAGTAACTTTTAACTTGTTGCCCAAGAGCGAGTAGTGTCCTCAAGGGACGTGTCAATCCGCTTCTGGGAAGATGGGTCTCGCCTTTACACGTGGAAAAGGGATTTCGGAGGAAACAGAAGTCCTCCAGAATGGAGAACTTTCTCCTCCGCCCTCCACCCACCTCCGCCAAACACAAGAAGCCTCTAGAAAAGGACTGATTGATTGACTGACTGACTTTACTTACTTTACTCGCTTATTTATTTTTACCTGTTCAGAGGGGGCCAGAGGAAAATTTAGCGAGTCTTTTGGTTCCACGTTAAGATGGAAAGAATGAAGGGGCAAGACTCCCTGCCCCAAGTTTGAATGTGACCTTGCCTGGAAGACCGCTATATCTGCCCCTCAAGGACCCCGCCATCTTGAACTCCCCTCGCCGTGCGACAAAAAGAGTCCCGGGTTGACTCCCCTAAAGCCTGGTTTCTCAAGGGCTCCAGCCAGGGGGCTTACCACGCACGTCCTCAGGGTCGACCGGCCCGAATCCTCCCGGAGAGAACCCGCAGCCCGGACGCCAGAAACGGAAACACCCGCGCCCGCATCCTCATTGGCTCCTGGGGGCCGGAAGTGTATGCGTCTGGCGGAAGTGCTCCTACTGCGAGCGTCCGCCCGGTCCGGACCCTCAGGTAGGCGGGGCCCCTGGCTCCCAGCTTTGGGACCGATGCGGTGGCGGAGGCGCCGAGGGGGCGCCGAGGGGACCCCGAGGGCCCCGGGAGGTTGTTCGGTTTCTGGTCTGGGGGGAGCCGGAAGAGTTTCGGGGGCGGGGGTTCCCGGCGACCCCTGCTGGCAGGTGGGGCCTAGTTCGAGCCTGGCCGCCGCAGGACCCAAGTGCGGGAGCTTCAAGCTCCCCCGTGGGGACGGGATTTGGGGCTGTGGCCGGAGCTGCTCCCCGACGCGTCCGGATGGTTGAGGTCCCGACGCTGCTCACGTCCAGCGGGGAAAATGTGTGCCCTCCGCCCTTATCTTTTCCCTGCTTCTGGGTTTGACGGCTTCCCCCCAGGCGTGCGGGGGTGCCGGGCTTTCCTCAGTGACGCCCGCGACCTCTTCTAGGGAACGTCTCAGAAAGGCCGCCCGAGGCGCAGTGGAGGGAGAAAACGGGTTCCCTCCCTCCCTTGCTCCGCTCTCCTCCTCCCCATGGTGTCTTCCTGAAACGGGAAGGGTGTGTTTCGAGCGCAGGCTGCTCAAGTGGAAGTTACCTGGACTGCTTTAGGCCAAGTTTATGTCAAGTAAATGAAACTACTTGATGATGGTTTCCTATTCCTCAGCCGACTCCACCTCCAAGTGGTTTGAACTTTGAGCTTCTTGTAGCCCTGATGAACAATTTGGCTTTCGTCAAGTTTGTGACACTTGGAACTTCAACAGTTGGAGGTTTATGCACTTTGGGACCGGGCCACACTGCGCGGAGTTCAAAGTGCTAGGAGGCCAGGTGAGCGTGAAACGAGCATCTTCCGCTCCAGATTGCGGTTTTTGAGCGCCCTTTTCGGCAGTTTTGTGAAAGGTGCACCGCCTTTATTGACTACTAGGTGGTGCCAGCGAGTTCATCTTTCTGGATAAATTTCAAATAATGAGCAGTGCCAGGATGCGGCTTTTGAAGTGCCCCATCTTCCCTGAAATTTACTTAAAATAGTTTTACCTCTTTAAAATAGCTGGTGCCCTTATACACTTTATCCAGTTATTGAATATCTATTCTCTACTAAGTGCTGAGGATGCTAAAAGAGGAATCAAATTCATTTTCTCCTGAGAGTTCATAGTCTGAAGAGAAAGGCCAATAATCAATGTGCTATAATGAAAGCACATATAACTTAAGGCAGAAATAAGTGCTAAGAAGAGAGTAAGATGTGAGATGCAATGGAAGAAGCAATCATTATTCATTTACCAATTATGTATCCAGACCTTCTGTCTGCCCAACGTTATTGTAGCTGCTGATGTATAAAGAAGTAAAGGGGCGCCTGGGTGGTTCAGTTCGTTGACCTTCCGCTCAGGTCATGATCTCACGTTTGGTGAGTTTAAGCCCCTGGTGAGAATTTGAGCTGGCAGTGCAGAGCCTGCTTTGAATTCTCTGTCTCTCTCTGTCCCTCCCCTGCTCATTCTTTTTTTTTTTTTTTATTTTTTTTATTTTTTTTTTTTTATTTTTTTTATTTTTTTTTTTTTTTAACGTTTATTTATTTTTGAGACAGAGAGACAGAGCATGAACGGGGGAGGGTCAGAGAGAGGGAGACACAGAATCCGAAACAGGCTCCAGGCTCTGAGCTGTGAGCACAGAGCCCGACGCGGGGCTCGAACTCACGGACCGCGAGATCATGACCTGAGCGGAAGTCAGCCGCTTAACCCACTGAGCCACCCAGGCGCCCCCTGCCTGCTCATTCTCTCTCTCTCTCTCCCTCCCTCTCTCTCTCTCTCTCTCAGATAAATATTTAAAAAAAAAAAAATCCCAAGTTACAAATAATTCACAATTTAGTGATTGGGAAGGAACCAAGAAAGACATTATGGAGAAGCTGAAACTTTAGCTAGACCCTGAAGAATGGATTACCTGGGCTTGATAGGTACCAAAAAAAAAAAAAAAAAAAAAAAAAAAAAAAAAAAAACAAGCATGCTCAAAGAAAAGAATGAAAGTGCATGGCATGTTTTGAAATAGCAAGTAGTGCCCTCTTCGGCTGCACATATCCTAAAATTGAAACAGCAAGTAGTTCAGCATGGTTAGACTGTAGGACACTGAGCCTGAAAAGACACTGTCAGTTTTAGGTTTGGCTTTACTTTCACTGGCAAATTCAACAGATATAAAATGTAAAATTTTTTTAACTTTTTTTTTTTTTTTTTTTTTTGAGAGAGAAAGCTTGCAAGCAGGGGAGAGGGGCAGAGGGAGAGAGAGAGAGAATGTCAAGCAAGCTCCAGGCTCAGTGTGGAGACTAACTCAGGGCTCCAATCCCACAACCCTGAGATTGTGACCTGAGCCACAATCACAGAGTCAGATGCTCAACCACCTGAGCCACCCAGGTGCCCCTGAAAGAAAATTTATTTATTTATTATTTGTTTATTTACTTACTTATTTTAATATTTATTTGTTTTCGAGAGAGAGAGACAGGGCACAAGCAGAGGAGGGGCAGAGAGAGAGGGAGACACAGAATCCGAAGCAGGCTTCAGGCTCCAAGCTGTCAGCACAGAGCCCGACGCGGGACTCAAACCCATGAGCTGTGAGATCATGACCTGAGGTGAAGACCAACACTCAGCTGACTGAGCTACCCAGATGCCCCTATTTACTTATTTATTTATTTATTTACTTACTTACTTACTTACTTACTTAAATGTTTATTTTTGAGAGCCAGAGAGAGAGCGCTAGTGCACACATGCAAACAGGGCAGAGGCCAAGAGAAAAGGAAAGAGAGAATCAATCCCAAGCAGACTACACTGTCAGCACAGATTCCAGTGTGAGGCTCAATCCCATAAACCATGAGATCATGATGTGAGCAGAAACCCAAGTCAAACGCTTAGCCAACTGAGCCTAAAATAAAATTTAAATGTGTATTTCCCAGGGGAAATTATACGTGAAGCATAGCTGTAATAAATTAGACTTTTGGCTAACCTATTATACATGACATACAGCTATAATAAGTTACACTTCTGGCTATAATGTAGCTCGTTTATATTTCTGTATCATTAATCACTGTAGATGACTTAAGCCAATTTTAACAGCTATGGCAGTAAGAATAGATTTTCACTGATTACATTCTATTTTGAAATATAACGTAAGGAATTCTCTTCATTGAGGTTCACATACCAGATCATCTGGTAGTGATTATGTGTAGGAAAATTTTAAATGCTCTAATAAATTACCCTAGGATTTAGGTTTTGATGAATCATTATACCTGATATTAAGCAAAACATGTTTCCTGAAAGAAATGTGAGTTTAATTTTTATAAATGGAAAAACTTAAACACTATGTTGTTGTTGTTTTTAAGTTTACTTATTTATGTTGAATGAGAGAGTTCTGGGGAGAGACAGAGAAGGAGAAAGAATCCCAAACAGGCCAGTGCAGAGCCCATCAGGGCTCAAACCCATGAACTGTGAGATCATGACCTAAGCCAAAACCAAGAGTCAGACTCTTCACCAACTGAGCCACCCAGGCCCCCCTTAAAGACTATAAATGTTGAGATAAACGCATACAGTATCAGCACACCAAAAGCAGCAGCTTTTCTCTACACTAGCAATAATCAGAAAAAAATTTTTTAAGTAATCTCTGTGCCCAACACCAGGCATGAACTCATAATCCGAAGATCAAAAGTTGCATGGTCTACCAACTGAGCCAACCAGGTGCCCCGCAATAATTAGAAATTGTAATAATGGGTGCCTAGGTGGCTCATTTGTTGAGTGTCTGACTTCGGCTCAGGTCATGATTTCACGATTCATGAGTTCGAGCCCCAATTGGACTCACTGCTCTCAGTGCAGAGCCAGCTTCAAATCCTCTGTCTCCCTCTCTCTTTGCCCCTCCCCCACTCACACTCTCTCAAAAATAAAGCATTAAAAAAAAAGAAATTGTAATAACAAGAAGTCTATTCCCAGTATTAACAAAAAACATATATAAAATGTCGAAGAATAGCCAGTGTTCAAGGCCTTTGTTAACAAAACAATACTTTTAAACTTAAAGATTGTGAAAGAAAGCCAAGATAAATGGAGTGATACATTGTTTGACAGGAAGATTCAAATTTCAGGGATACAGATCTGCATATTAGGCTCTAATTTTAATGTAATCCCTCTCAAAATTTCAATTGCATTTTTTTTAAATGTTTATTTATTTTTGAGACAGAGCATGAGCAGGGGAGGGGCAGAGAGAGAGGGAGACACAGAATCTGAAGCAGGCTCCAGGCTCTGAGCTCTCCCCACAGAGCCCGATGCCAGGCTCGAACTCGTCAAATGCAAGATCATGACCTGAGCCGAAGTCAGACACTCAACTGACTGAGCTACCCAGGCACCCCAATCAATTGCATTTTTTTTTTAATTTTTAATTTATTTATTTATTTTTTTTTTTTTTGAGAGACCTAGCACAAATGGGGAGGGGCAGAGAGAGAGGGAGACACAGAATCAGAATCGGAAGCAGGCTGCAGGCTCTAAACTGTCAGGACAGAGCCCCATACAGGGCTGCTGAGCCGAAGTCAGATGCTCGACCGACTGAGCCACCCAGGCACCCCTTCATTGCATTTTTAAGGGAACTTGACACTCTGATTTTTTTTTTTTAATTTTTTTTTCAACGTTTATTTATTTTTGGAACAGAGAGAGACAGAGCATGAACGGGGGAGGGGCAGAGAGAGAGGGAGACACAGAATCAGAAACAGGCTCCAGGCTCCGAGCCATCAGCCCAGAGCCTGACGCGGGGCTCGAACTCACAGACCGCAAGATCGTGACCTGGCTGAAGTCGGACGCTTAACCGACTGCGCCACCCAGGCGCCCCGACACTCTGATTCTTAAATTCATCCAGAAGAGAAAATGCATAGGAATAGCCAAGAATTACTGGGGAAAGAAAATTCCGCAATAATAAAGGCAACTCCCTATCAGTTATCACTGTACCAGCTTTATAGCGGACAAAATAACAAGGTAGTCTTATGACCAGAATGTTCTCAGTGAAACAGACGTGAGTCTTTCTACTGAGTCTACATTAAAAGTGGCATAAATACTGACTAATAAACAGTGTTGGGGCAACTCACTCCTCCTTTGAAAGAAAATAGAAGTTAGAATCGTATTTCATAGCATTAACAAAAAGAGTTGAAGTGGCTTAAAGACCTGAATGTAGGGGTGCCTGGGTGGCCCAGTCGTTAAGCAACTGACTTTGGCTCAGGTCATGATCTCCAGTTTGTGAGTTCGAGTCCCACTTCGGGTGAGCATGAGGCCCACTTCTCACTCTCTCCCTCTCTCTCTCTTTCCCTCTCTCCCTCCCTCCCTCCCTCTGCCCCTCCCGGGATTCTCTTTCTCTACCCCTCACTAACTTGCTCTCTCTCTGTCTCAAGAAAAAAAAAAAAAAACTGGATGTAAAAAGAAAAATTTATGTAAGTCTTAGAATATAAAATCGTGTGTTTTTTAAAATCTTGAGATGGTTAGGGCCTGCCTTCATGGGACATAAAACTAATAAGACTTAAAGAAGAAGACAGATTTGGCCATTAAAAATAATAATTTATCATTGGGGCACCTGGGTGGCTCAACTTAAGTGTCCGACTTCGGCTCAGGTCATGATCTCACAGTTCATGAGTTCAAGCCCCTCATCAGGCTCTCTGCTGTCGGCGCAGAGCCTGCTTCGAATCCTCTGTCTCCCTCTCTCTCCGCCCCTCCCCTGCTCGCACACGTGTGCACGTACACACCCTCTCTCTCAAAAATAAACACTTAATAATAATTTATTATGACAAAAAAAACCAATAAGTAAAATTTAAAGTCAAGAGATGAGATCATATTTGCAACATAACTGCAAAGGCTTCATACTGCTGTAAATCAGTAAGAGAAAAATAATCCAGGGGCATATTTCCAAGGGAGAAATTCACAGCAAAAATTGTCAGTGCCCGCAAGTTATTAGGTAAATGCACATAAAACCAACAAGACAATGCTAAGAGTGTTCTTTTTTTTTTTTTTTTTTTTAATTTTTTAATGTTTATTTATTTTGGAGACAGAGCATGAACGGGGGAGGGGCAGAGATAGAGGGAGACAGAATCTGAAGCAGGCTCCAGGCTCTGAGCTGTCAGCACAGAACCCGATGCCGGGCTCGAACCCACAAACTGCGAGATCATGACCTGAGCCGAAGTCAGACACTCAACTGACTAAGCCACCCAGGCGCCCCAGGAATGTTCTGAGTCCTAGAGAATACTTACTAAGAATGAAAAAGAATGTTACAATGAATCTTTTTGTAAAGCAAAAAGATTTATTTCTTTTTTTTTTTTTTTTAATGTTTTAATTTATTTATTTTGAGAGAGAAAGGGAATATGCAAGCAGGAGAGGGGCAGAGAAAGATAGAATCCCAATTGGGCTCCGCAGTGCAGAGCCCCATGCAGAGCTCAACCCCACCAACCATGAGATCTTGACCTGAGCAAGGGTTGGATGCCCAACCAACTGAGCCACCCAGGTGTCCCAGCCCTAATCTATTTCTTTATAAAATTGTGTTTTCAGGGGTGCCTGGGTGGCCCAGTTGGTTGAACATCCAACTTCGGCTCAGGTCATGATCTCATGGCTCATGAGTTTGAGCCCTACACCCGGCTCACTGCTGTCATCCGCTTTGGATCCTCTGTCCCCCTCTCTCTGCCCCTCCCTGCTCACGCGTCTGCTCTCTCCCTCAAAAATAAATAAACATTTTTAAAAGATTGTGTTTTTAACTATCAAATCTGTTTAAAGTAAGATGGACCAATAGTGAAGACTTTTAATTAATTTGTCAAGTCAGGTTAAGAAGACTGCCAGGCATTCTTGTGGGGTGTTGCTAGTATAGGAGTTTAAACTACTATACCTAAAATGCAATTCTCTTTGCACAACTCTCTTTCCCACACCTGTAGCTCAGAATGAACATAGCCCATTGTGAATTGCACTGGAACGTGGAATCATTTCAAATAACCAAATATATACTGTATGTGGGCTTATTGTTCTTCCTAGAGGTCAAAATGGCTTCCAGAGGAAAGACAGAGACAAGCAAATTAAAGCAGAATTTAGAAGAACAGTTGGATAGACTAATGCAGCAATTACAAGATCTGGAGGAATGCAGGTGAGAGTAACTGAATGCTGCTATGCAGTCCAGTGGCTTTTTTCTGCAGCTAGATTACAAGCTCTGGGTGCAGGCACCTGTGTGATTTTGGTTTCCCCTGTAGTGTTCTTCACAGTGCTTTGTCTGTTGGAGAAATAAACTCAGGGCGAGCCTTGGAGTCATAAAGGTAACCCCCTTAAGTTTCCATTTCCCTGAGTGTGAAGTGAAAATAATAACTAACACCTACCTTCTCTTTGGTGTTTAAAATAGGCCTGCTTGGTATCAAGCTGAGAAGATACCACTTGAACTTCTAGTGTCTTTTCAACTTCAACTGTTCCAAGGACCAAAAGCGTTCATTGCCTTTTTTAACTACTTTGAAAGGTTGTTGTAAATATTTCAAGTCAAGGGGCCAAAACAATACTTGGCCCAGAGCCGATGCTCAATAAGTGGTAGCTGTCGTTGAATTTGTAGTGAATGTTTAATAAATGGCTTGTTCGAGTAGTGAATAAAAATAGCCTCGTTCGCAGACGATAGGTGGTGCATTGCTATTGTATTTCAAGGTGCACAGAATTTTATCTACCATCAATGATGGTCATAAATGAAATGGCTGCTTTGTCAAGCCCTGTTGTGTGTCAAGCACTTTCTATATTTCATTTAATGCTCGTAGCAGCCCTGTAAGGTAGTACTATCATTATCTGTGGCTTATAGATCAAGAAAATGAGACTCAGCTGTGTTAAGTGTCTTGCCCAAGGTTATGCATTGATTCGTAGAGTGCTTAAAAGGAAGTTATTATGTGGTTTGTTAAGTGTGCCTCATTTTGGTAAAAGAAAAATGGTTAATTATCAAGGTAACCACATTGCAGGAAAGTGCCTGTATTAGACTAACATCTGAACACATCCGTTTTTAGCATTTTGTTGTTTCCTTTCAGCCTTGTCCCTCAGTATATTTTTTGTAAATATATGTATCTGAAGTCTTAGAGTCCAAATATAAGATTGCTTTTTTTTCACTTAGAACTCTGTTTTTCTATGTTTGCTGTACTTCAGAGAGGAACTTGATACAGATGAATATGAAGAAACCAAAAAGGAAACTCTGGAGCAACTAAGTGAATTTAATGATTCACTGAAGAAAATCATGTCTGGAAATATGACTTTGGTAGATGAGCTCAGTGGAATGCAACTGGTGAGCATAATTTACTTACACTAGTGACACAGTTTGTCTTTTTCCCCTTTTTTTTATAAGTATATTTAAGATAGAAACCCTTTTTTGGGGTTTAACTTCCAGATGAGTGTCTGCTTATCAATACAACAGCATAGCAAACGGAGACTAAAATTATAACGGTGTTTGATGAACAAAGACGACCTGTTAGTAATTGAAAACTCATCAGTCAATTACTGTAATGTCTGATTCATTGGAATATTTGGCTTAGTTTTTACCTTCTTATATCCTAGGCTATCCAGGCAGCTATCAGCCAGGCCTTTAAAACCCCAGAGGTCATCAGATTATTTGCAAAGAAACAACCAGGTCAACTTCGGACAAGGTTAGCGGAGGTAAAATTTCTTTACATTGATTTAATTGCTGTGCGTATTTTTTTCTCAGCTCCAGAATTTGCTCATTATGTTCGTCTGAAGTTTAAAAATTGGTCAGTTGAGAATGTACACCACCACCAAGAGTGAATCCTAATGTATAGACTGTGGACTTGGGGGGATTGTGTGGTGTCAGTGAGCCACTCTGGTGGATGATGAAAAATCATGGGGAGGCTGTGCATGAGTGGGGGGCAGGGAGGATACGGGAAATTTTTGTATGTTTACACAATTTGCTGTGAACCTGAAACTGCTCTAGAAAATAGTCAGCTACCAAAAAAAAATTTGATCAGTTGATTTGAGAGCCACAACCCACAGTTTTCTGACAAAATTAGTCTTTTGAGCAATTATTGAATATAGAGGTGTAAACAGCATATGGCAGTTTAAATTGCTACTAACTGCTTCTACTCGAACCCCAACTTTAAGGTTTTACCATTTATTTCTGAAGCCGAGTTGAAATTCCATCTAGAATTCATTAGCAGCATTGCTTTTTGTGCATGTAGCCTTTCTCATCTAAGAATTTCAAACATCTCTATAAACCTGGATTTGAGAAAGTCTGTTTATAGACTTGAATATAATTAAGGCATTAACAAGTGATTTACAACCACTGATAATTCAGTAGCATAGCATGGACTTGGGTCAGACTGGCAGGATTTGTATCCCTGCTCTATGGTGGAGGTATGTGACCTTAGGGAAGTTACTTTTAATAGTTTTTAACACAATTAATAATGTTTTGTTTGTTTGTTTATTTTTGAGAGAGAGACAGAGCGCGAATGGGGGGGGGGGGGGCAGAGAGAGAGAGGGAGATACAGAATCAAAGCAGGCTCCAGGCTCAGCTATCAGCACAGAGCCCGACACGGGGCTCAAACTCATGAACTGTGAGGTCATGACCTGTGCCGAAGTTGGAAGTTTAACCAACTGAGCCACCCAGGTGCCCCAATAAACTTTTTAGTAAATATTACTACTATTATTATTGAAGTTGAATAAGTTATGTTATTCAACCTATTTGTGCCTCAGTTTCCCCGTCTATAAAAAGGTGATAATAGTAGTTCCTACCTCTTAAGGTTGTTATAAGGACTAAATAAAATAATATGCGTAAAGCACATACTATGTGTAACATGTAATGTGTGTAAAGCACATGGAATAGTACCCAGGCATACTATAGGCTATCAGTGTTTCTGGTGATAGAGGTGATATTTAACCAACATTCCTGGAGACCTGATACCAGTTATCTCATTCAAGCCTATAGACCACACTTCAGTTTAAGGGAATGAGTGCTTGAAGGATAGCTTCTCTCTAAAGGAAGGTGTTGACCTACCAGTTCCTCAGTAAAGTTTATAATCAAGGCAGTGGTTATGATTAGCATTCAGATTTATTAGAACTGAGGGGCGCCTGAGTGGCTCAGTCGGTGGAGCATGTGACTCTTGATCTTGGGGTTGTGAGTTCGAGCCCCATGTTGGATATAGAGATTACTTAAAAAATAAAATCTTAAAAGATTTATTAGAACCGTGTAACTGTATTTCTGACATGTTTGCCTTGAATTGATTCTATAGTTCTTTATAATAATCAGCTAGAAGATCTTTTTTCTTTAAGAAGAAGTAGATCTAGGGGCACCTGCTTAAGCAGCCTACTCTTGATTTTGGCTTGGGCCGTGATCTCGCAGTTAGTGGGTTCGAGCCCTGCATTGGGCTCTGCGCTCACAGTGCAGAGTCTGCTTGGGATTCTCTCTCCTCCTGTCTCTCCTCCCCTCCCCTGCTCACTCACTCTCAAAAAAAGTAGATCTGAAAATCTGGATTTTATGGATAAAATGTTTTGTTTTGTTTTTTAATGTTTATTTATTTTTGAGAGAGCGAGAACAAGCACGAGCAGGGGTAGAGGATCTGAAGTGGGCCCTGCACTGACAGTAAAGAGCCCCACATGGGGCTCAAACTCATGAACTGTGAATCATGACCTGAGCCAGAGTCAGATGCTTAACAGACTGAGCCGCCCAGGCGCCCTGGACACAATGTTTTTAACTTAAGTACCATATTCTTTGCATTCATCCATTTCAGATGGATAGAGATCTCATGGTAGGAAAGCTGGAAAGAGGCCTGTACACTCAACAGAAAGTGGAGATACTAACAGCTCTCAGGAAACTTGGAGAGAAGGTACCTATATTTAATTTAATATATTAGGTATAAAGAAAAGGTACAAAGTATTTGGTATAGAACTTTGTGAGCTGTGATCTAGTTTGTGGTCCTGAGACATTCTTAAAGGTGGTTCCTAGAACCTCTTGTTAACATTCGAATCCGCTCTCTCGGGCTTTGTTTTGTTTTGTTTTGTTTTGTTTAGCTGACCGCAGATGATGAGGCCTTCTTGTCAGCAAATGCAGGTGCTATACTCAGCCAGTTTGAGAAAGTGTCTACAGACCTCGGTGAGTCTCCTCGTATTTCTGAAAGCTGTCCAGGCATTACTGCTCACATTGATGGATACCATGAGTGAGGTAACAGGATGGCCTTATCTTGAGTTTAGAGGTAAAACCAGGGGCGCCTGGGTGGCTCACTCTGACTCTTGATCTCAGCTTAGGTTGTGGTCTCGGGGTCCTGATTTCAAGCCCTGCATCGGGCTCCATGCTGGGCATGAAGCCTACTTAAGAAAAAAAAAAAATTGAGGTAAAACCAGAAGTGTTTTCTTTATAAATCCCTCGTATTAGGTTTATTTCCTAATATTTTTAAATTGGGGCGCCTGGGTGGCTCAGTCGGTTGAGTGTCCGACTTTGGCTCAGGTCATGATCTCACAGTCTGTGAGTTCAAGCCCCGTATCGGGCTCTGTGCTGATGGCTCAGAGCCTGGAGCCTGCTTCCGATTCTGTGTCTCCCTCTCTCTCTGCCCCTTCCCTGCTCATGCTCTGTCTCTCTGTGTCTCAAAAATAAATAAAAACATTAAGAAAAAAAAATTTTTTTAATTAAAAATAAATTAATATAGTCTAATATTTTTAAAATATTTGTCAGCTAAATATAAATATAAAGTAAACTAAAATCTTATATATTCTATCTCACTTTTTTTTTTATTTTTTTTTTAATGTTTATTTTTGAGAGAGACAGAGACAATGCGAGTGGGTTAGGGGCAGAGAGAGAGGGAGACACAGAATCCGAAGCAGGCTTCAGGCTCCCAGCTGTCGGCACAGAGCCTGACGCAGGACTCGAACTCATGAGCTATGAGATCATGACCTGAGCCAAAATCGGATGCTCAACTGACTGAGCCAGCCAGGTGCCCCTCTATTTGACATTTAAAGTTAGAGTAAGGGGGCACCTGGCTGGCTCAGTTAGTAAAGCATGTAACTCTTTTCTTTTTTTCTTGTTTTTAATTTAAAGTTTATTTATTTATTAATTTTGAGAGAAACAGAGGCAGAGTGAGCAGGGGAGGGGCAGAGAGAGAGAGAGGAAGAGAGAGAACCCCAAGCAGGCTTTGTGCTGTCAGTGTAGAGCATACAACTTTTGATTTTGGGATCGTGAGTTTGAGCCCCACATTGCAGGTAGAGATTACTTAAAAATAAAGTAAGTGAAGTAAGTAAGTTGAAGTAAGGATTTGTAACCAATAAATCATCCTCTGTGTGTGAGATATTTGTGCAGGGGAAAGGAAGTTGGGAATTGGTACTGAGAAAGTTTAGGGGTAATGCTCTGATTATAGAAGCGAGTTTTATTTTCTGTTTCAATAGCTATGGAACTTGAAATGCATTTGAAATAACCTTTGTTTATTATGTTTATTTCTCCTTAGGCTCTGGAGACAAAGTTCTTGCATTGGCAAGTTTTGAGGTCGAAAAAACAAAAAAATGACATGGTGTGGAAGCTTGGGACATTGATCACATTCTTGCTGTAAATGGCATTTGTCTCATAGGGATTTTGAATCATTGCAAAGAAATCAAGAGATTCTTGAAATACATTGATAACCTGAGAAACGGTGACAGAAAACATACTTGTGGCTTCTGGTTATACCCTTCCTCGTTGTGCTTCAGGGCTACTTGCCTGAGTGATCCTAGATGGGTGGGATGAGGAACCCATTGGGCCTTATTCATCATGTCTTGTGTGTTTGAGAGAAGGAACAGAAAACAGTCTCTCTGCCTGGTTTTATTAAGCCTCCTTGTTTTAAGTGCTGATAGTAAATGAAAAGATGTGAACTAATGATTCTTTTCTGCTCATAATTTATCCCCACTTGTTGGAGTGAATAGTGTACCAACATCAATAGGCGTCCTGTGTGTTTATAGAATTTTAGAGTTCTAAGTGATCTTGGAAATCATTTTCATTTTATAATCAAGGAAACTGAGGCTCAGAAAGAACAAGTTGACTTGCTGAAAGTCACATCCGAGACAGAGCTGGTTTATAAGACTTGGGCATCCTGACTCTCAGTTTAGTGTCCATTGAGTTTTATTTCTTTATTTTGTGCTGTTTTTAAAAACTAATTAACACATATTTGGGCAAGTCCGTGTTTATGAAAATTCCATGTCCCAACAAAAAGTTGTCACTAAGGGACCATTCCTCCAGCCTGTAGGACCTCCATATGAAAGGGGCCCATTGTATCCCTCAGTTGTGAGCTTGGAACAATGGGAGCCCTGTTGAGAGTCTCCTGGAGTAACTTAACCTCCTGCTTTGTTTCACCAGGGAAGTAATTGAAAGTGGCAGCTAGAGTCCCCCGCCCCAGCCCTCCCCACCATGTGTGACCTCTTTGCTGAAACCCAGTAGGTGGTGACTGTAACTATTATTTACTCTTCTGTTTTTGGAGAAACACAAAATAAGTTACGAGGAAAAACATACTCTCAAGTGTTTATATTTCTCTGCATGCTCAAATATATAGATTTCCCCATGCATATGTATATGCTAGCTTATTTTCTAGGCTCGGGCCACTTTATATTTTTTTCATGTGTGTCTCAGTTTTCTTTTCCTTTGCACTTTATCCAAATTAAAACACTTCTGAAGCTTCTCATATACTGTAAACTCTACTAGGTGCTCTGCCAACTGGACAAATTAGGGACCTCAGCTTCATTAATGCCTTATTTGGAACTCTTAATGGGTAACTTTTTATATATTGGTTTATAGCGGTCAAAAACTCATTGAAATTGTAACAAACCAAGAAAAAGCAAATTGCCTGCTACCCATGTAGGATTTTATGGTCAATCATCATTATTTCATTATTCTGCATTTTTGTTTGTTCAAGTGATCTCTACACCCAACGTGGGGCTTGAACTCAGGACCCCGAGATCAAACGTCACATGCTCTACCAACGGAACCAGCCAGGCACCCCTAGTCTGCATTGTTTTTAACTGAGGTGAAACTCACGTCCTATAAAAATCAGAAATGTACAATTCAGTGGTGTTTAGTACGTTCACAATGTTGTGCAGCCATCACCATCTAGTTCCAAAACATTTTCACCACCCCAAAGGAGACGCCACACCCATTAAGCAGTCACTCCCCGTGCACTCCTCCACATCCCAGCCCTCCGGCAACAACTAATCTGCTTTCTGTCTCTGGATTTACCTATTCTGGAAAATTCCTGTCAATGGAAGCATACGGTATGCGACCTTTTGTGTCTGGCTTCTTTCACTTAGCGTATTTTCAAGGTTAATCTAAGTTGTAGCCTGTATCAGTACTTCACTCCTTTTAATGGCTGAAAATATTTCCTTGCGTGGATACTACATTGCGCTTATGCATTTACCTCTTGAACGTTTGGACTTTTTCCACTTTCTGGCCATTGCAAATAGTACTGCTATGAACATTTGTATCTAAGCGTTTCAATACCTGTTTTCAGTTCCTTTGGTTTTATATCCAGGAATGGAATTGCTGTGTGTACGTGTGTTTGGGGGGTTTTTTGTTTTGTTGTTTAAGCCCTAACAAGATTCCCCTTTCCCCTCCAGTAGTAGGATAAGGAAAATTAGGAATATTGGGTACTTGAGAGGGGCCTACGTGAATCTGGAGTCCTTAATTTTGCTTTCCCTTTACACTTTCTGTGAGACTAACATCAGTGAAATATTTTGTCATTAATCACATTAGTGTATTCATTTTGTAAGTAATGACTAGTACTCAACTTAAAATTAATCTTCCTTTAAAAGTTACAAAGTGGGGCGCCTGGATGGCGCAGTCGGTTAAGCGTCCGACTTCAACCAGGTCACGATCTCACGGTCCGTGAGTTCGAGCCCCGCGTCGGGCTCTGGGCTGATGGCTCAGAGCCTGGAGCCTGTTTCCGATTCTGTGTCTCCCTCTCTCTCTGACCCTCGCCCGTTCATGCTCTGTCTCTCTCTGTCCCAAAAATAAATAAACGTTGAAAAAAAAAAATAAAAAATAAATAAATAAAAGTTACAAAGTATGCAGTACCCAGCAAGATACTGTCATTCATGACCGTGTGACCTTTGGTAGGTTACTTAATCTTTCTGAGGCTCATCTTCCTCTTCTGTTCAATAGGGATCCGTAGGTAGGACCTACCTACCGCATGGGTTTACTGTGGATCTCCCTCTCTTTAACGCAGACAGAAGTTTTGCATTGGAGCTAATCTACAATTTAACAATTCTTTCGAGGGCCATGTTATATATTTTGTTTCACAAATTTGGTCCTTAATTCAGAAAAAAATGAGTTGAAAAGGGACTAATTTGAAAATTCTATACAATTATAGTTATTAAATGATTTGCAAACTAGGTTTCCTGTTCATATTTTGCTATATTTAATCTGGGTTTTTAAACTTCTCGGGAGGTCTCAGACTGCAATAACTAATGCTAAGGCAGCTAACTGTTTGATATCTTTGGGTCAAGCTAATATTTTAATGAGAAAAATTCCTGCATTTTTCAAAGAACTGGGGTTGAAGCAGAAGTAAATTCCAATGAGCGAGTGTACAACTGGGCAGTTTAATCAAAGGTAATAATTTAAAACCGTTTCTAGGGGCTCCTGGCTGGCTCAGTCTGTAGAATGTGCAACTCTTGATCTCGACCTTGTAAGTTTGAGTTCCACGTTGGATGTAGAGATTACTTAAAAATAAAATCTTAAAAAATAAATAAAACAATTGTTGTGTTTCAGTGCTTTGTTCTTCCTGTAAATGGTAAGAAGGGTATGCTAGGTAGGCCTTTTTTTTTTTTTTTTTTTATGTTTATTTTTTTGAGGGGCAGACAGAGAGGCCAACTGAGGGTCTGAAGCAGGCTCTGTGCTGGCATCAAAGAGCCCGACGTGGAGCTCGAACTCACGAACCATGAGATCAGGACCTGAGCTGAAGTCGGACACTTAACCAACTGAGCCACCCTGGCGTCCCTGTTGGGCCTTTCTTTGAAGACGACTCAGCCAAAGAACAGCCATCTTGGGCAAAATAAACGACTACAAACCCACCGTTGGATGGCATCTTACTACAGTGAATAATGGATAGTTTGAAATGATGACAGGAAAAATAAACCCAGACCATTTGGCCTAGAGCTTTTCAGCTACTTCCCTGTCCGTTTTCCCCCCTTGCTGTATATTCGTTACTAAGGCCAAAAAAAATGCGCTTGTTTGCCTCTCAAAATGTTTTCAGCATTAATATGTAGGTTAAAACTGTCAGCAGTGCCACAGACCCCCATGAACAAGCGCTAATTGCTTCCAGTCTGTTTGGCCCTGGAATTGCAAAGATTTAGAAACTGGGTTAACTAGTATTTAATATTTTCACTAAATTGCAAAAAGCAGGTTGAAAATACGGCTCCTCTGGGTATTCCTCTAGAGTACGGCCTTTTGACATCCCAACTCACTGTCTTTTTGAAGTCCCTCTCCCCGCCACAGTAACCACGAAGCGGGGCCACCAAGCTGCTGAAAAGGCTTCCAACACGGGGCTCTCGCGGCGCTCTGAAGGGTGCGCGGCGAAGAGTCCGCCCTCCGAGAGTCTGGAAGCTGAGAGGCCTGTCGGCTGGAAGCTTCGTGGTGTTTGGTTGTCTTCCTCTGGGAAGAGCACGTTCCTTAGAGCCTCAGGCAACGGACAGCAATTAAAAATAACTAAACGAGGGGCGCCTGGGTGGCTCGGTCGGTCAAGTGTCCGACTTCGGCTCGGGTCATGCTCTTCCGGCTCGCGAGTTCGAGCCCTGAGCCGGGCTCCGTGCTGACAGCTTGGAGCCTGCAGCCTGCTCTGGACGCCGCGTCTGCCCTCTGCTGCTCACATCCGGTCTCCCTCTCTCAAAAATGATTTAAAATAAACACCAAAGAAAACAAAACTGAACAAGCAGAACGTATTCCGTAAAGAAGGTCAAGGAGAGTCACCGGCTTCCTTTTGAATTAAGAAAGCAGAAGGGGCACCTGGCTGCCTCAGCCGGCAGAGCACATGCTTCTCGATCTCGGGGTTGTGAGTTCAAGCACCACGTTGGGTGTAGAGATTACTTGAATAAATAAATAAAATTAAAAAAAAAAAAAAAGAGGAAGATACTGTAGGCAAGGGTTCTTTCTAAGATTATTTATCAACCACAGATCTGCCCTAATTTCTGGCCACTGTGGGAACTTCGGAAACCTTCCCACAAGAATCTCTGACTTTGTGTTCAGTCACACTTTCAGTACATGATTTAAGGGCTTAAGTCATCTTGATTATGTCTGTTGAAGACGTCTGAGGAGATCAGGTACAAGTCTTCATTACTGCTAAGTTGTCATATTACGTGGAACTGTTCTTTCCTATGAGAGGAGGTGAAGGAGTTTTGTTTTTTGTTTTTTGGGTTTTTTTGTTTTTTTGTGTTTTTTTTGCACACTTGTGTGAAAACCTGGTTCCTTCAGGCTGGCATCACTCCTCCAATACTCAAGAACCAGAGCGGGTTGAAAACTGAGGCATTTACCTACAACGGTAATCAAAGAGGTACGTAATTATGTAGAAGCAAGTATTTGGCCTAGATGAGATAAAAACTAATTGCCTGAACCCTGTGATCTGACCATGATCTTAGAAAACATGGCAGTTTGGGGGCACCATTTTTGGCTCAGTCGGTTAAGTGCCCAACTTCAGCTCAGGTCATGATATCACGCTTCATGAGTTCGAGCCCCACATCAGGTTCTGTGCCAACAGCTCAGAGCCTGGAGCCCGCTTCGGATTCTGTGTCTCCCTCTCTCTCTGCCCCTCCCCCGCTCGCCCTCTGTCTCTCTCCAGAATAAAATAAAAACATAAAAAAAGAAACAGAAAGAAAACATGGTGCTTTTACTACTTCGTGTGTTAAAAAAAAAAAAGAAACTTTGTTGTCACAGGTTTTACATCAAGTTTAATCTAGGTCTTGGTAAATTATACCTTAGATTTGGGTTGTAAAGCTCTGAGCTTACACTTTGACTTAAATATTTTGTTTCATATTTACTCAGAAAAGGAGCATTTTCACTTTGGGAGCAAACAGGCAAAGCCTCAGTCCCTTGGCCTTACGCTTGTGGCATTTCCTTTCAGCCTGTCTTCTAGAAGCAGGAGCGGCTTGTTCTCCTGCAAGGAAATACCGTGAGCAAGACTATATTAAGCAGTACATGTAGGCACACCAAACCCACTTTCCAGCCTCAGAAAGGAAAACTCGGGCTCTGTCTTTCCCTTGTGAGCTGGAGGGAGAAGGGAGGGGTGAGCCCGTGTTCACCCCGGGGCGTGCCTTCCTTCTGGGAGTCTGACGGCCAGTGGCGCGGCCGCTCCCGCGGGGCCCTTCTGACCTCCCACGGTGCTGCTCTCGCCAGGGTGGGAGGTTGACTGTGCCAGTGTAATCCTGTTACAGTCAAAGCACTGAACAAATTGTATACTTTCGTCCCTTCGGGGCTTAAGAAACTCAAAGTGTGCTTTGGTGAGGATTAGGACTTGAAATTGGAGAGAAGAAAACATGTTTTGAAAAAAAATTTTTTTTTTTAATTTTTTTTAAGTTCATT